AATTACAGCAGAAACCTGGATTATTCAAGCTCTGGCTAAACAGGCCACATGTAGGAAAAAAAAAAGATGAACGGGTAACAAGTGCAAACTCCAACTTCTTTTGTGGAATTCTCCTTTGTTGTAAATAGGCCTTTCAATGACTTTGGTTTTGGCCTTACAACACTAAATCAAAGCCCTTTACATAGATGTTATGTAATGCTCATTGCTTAAATATGGTCATCTTCATGTGAAAACAATTTACATAGTTTACATACTCCTGGGACAAACATGCACCGTCATTACTGATCATATGAATAAATGAGATTTAAGACATCTACTGTGAATTATGAGAAAAATTTCACAAGAAAAATCATTCTAAAGAGTAATCACTAACTTTTGCTGACTTACATTGCTTCATAGTTACGCCTTATGCTCTCAGGTATCTTAGGCTTAGTAACTCTCACAGCCTAAAACAAAGACAAACATTAAGCTTATCCAATGTGATTTTAATTGGTTTTTAAGTTACAGTGAACATATGTCATAAAACAAATACTCCAATTTGATGCAAAGCAGGGTGTATAATGTATTGGTGCCATGGATCAGAGTACTTCAGTTTTCCATGAGGGGTTACCGTAACATTCAGTGATAAAAAATGATGACTATACTACAGGTATGATCATAATTATATCATTATTGTCAATGTCACTACTATCTTTAAACCAAATTCTCTAATTCTGACCTGAACTCTTAAACCAGGCGCCATGGCTAACAAATCTAACTGTAGGGCAGTACGCAGATTCTCATCAATTTGATCTGGTGACAAATACATAAGTAGTAAATAATGCAAGGTAAAAACATTAACATGCGAACAAAAACACTGTCTGGAATAACCAAGACTGATATTAAAAATTAATTATTAATAAATTGTTTAATGAATAACTCTGTCAGTTAATCTTGTGAACTCACCAAAGAGATCTATGTAAACTTCTTGGAGGGTGTGTGCACTGCAAAACTGAAAGCATTGAAGTAAAAGTCAGAAATTTCTCTTTAAATTTGAATATATGAAGCTGGTAAAAGGTAAATGCTGCTATAAATGACCATCATTCTACCCTATTAAGCAAAGGCCTATAACTGGGTTGCTGAGATGGCCATCTCCATCAGGTACATGTAGCTGGCTGCAAAAATGTTGGAGCTTCTAGAAAAGAAGTACCATGCCTCTCAGTAGCCAGCCATACACTGACATACAGATTAAATAAACAGCTTCAAGCTCATATACTTCATATTAAGTTATTTGCTCTATCTAAAACATGATTGACCTACAATTAAACATATGAATAAGAATCACCTGGTTCAACTCATGATGTATCTTGTTAAATATCAGTGCTTTATCATAATCTGCTGTGTAATTTCTGACAATATCAAATACTGAAAAAAGAAAACATGAAAATGTGACAAAGTCAAAAATGTATTTCCAAGCCATTTCTATTTTACATGAACTTTGAATTACCAATTGATAATAAGGGAATAACATGACTTTTTGAGGGAATATTGTTTATTTGCGCCCATGTAGTGTCATTTGCGCAAATGACACAACAAGGGCGCAAATAAACAATATTCCCTCAAAAAGTCATGTCATTATCATTAATATCAATAAACAAGGCCAAATGATATCAAGAATGCGAGTTTTAATAATACAAGCTAAGTGAATGACGAATTCAAAGTCACTTCAAATCATCATGTAAGTGTTGATTGAACAAGCTATTAAAGAATCAACTCAGTCCAGTGAACTTATTGAAAATTACCGAAAAAATGCTTAAAATCGTCTATAAATAATAGGCATATCACAAAGTTAACCTTAAAATGATCCATGGGATGATGAAGCAAGAACCAATCAGCTGTAGGGCTGATAATGCATTAGCAGCCCGCTGTCAGTCTTTTGCGGCCCGCTGAGCGTGTGTTTTGAAGACGCCAATTTTCTATTTGGCCGCGTATATTGATAATAATGATCAATACAAGTTTGTGTAAACTAACTTCTGACAGGGGGATTACATGACAACAATTTCTTAGCCTGGGGTGACAAATTGTTTTTGAATAATACATTGGGCTCTTATTAAGCGATTGCAAATCATTTTTCCTGTTCAAGAAAATAATTGTCACACTATGGCCATTTTGAGATTCTGCTTATAATTTTCCCCCCACAGGGGATAATTTTAGAGAAGGAAATGAGATAGTCCTAGATCAAACATGGCAAGCACATTGCTATAATGTTGGTTCAAAAAATTAATTTTTCACCTGATGAAGATTCAAGAATATTAACAACTTCAATACGATCAAAATAGATGACAACTCCTCCACTGCAACAAAAGTTCAAAGAGTCTCAAAAACTCATTTATATTACAGGCTGAAAAAAAAAAAACAACATAGAAACTGAAAGATAAATAATATCCTTTTCAAACTGCTAGAAAAATTGTTTAATCAAAAACACTGAAACTCATTCCTGCCATTGATGGTATTAATAGGTGGACAGGTGCCTTTCTCACCAACCTTTCTCTATTCTTGACTTTCTAAAAAAAACTTTCAATTTTCAGTGGTTCAACATAAATCCCTGAATTTACCCTGAACTTGAATAGTTTTCTTTCACCTTATGTTGACTATGCACCTTCTGTACAAACCAAACACAACACTAACAGTTCAAACATCAAGTCATTTGGTTTGATCAAAAGAGTTTCTAAGCTGATATTTTGAGAGCTAGTCCTCCCTTATTTACAATGAACAAGGGCTAAAACTTGAAATGTCAGCTTAAAAACTCCTCATCTTTAGAAACGTACCTCCTTTAAACATTAAGTCATGTTTGCAAATCATTTAACAATTCTACCAACCTTGTTCCACATGGGACATTTTTTACTTCATCAGTCTGCAGTGTAGTCTGCACTGAGCGGAACATTGTTAAGAATGGAATCATAATGTGATATCCTGGTCCACTAGTTGATGATAGCAATGCACCACCCTATGAGACAAATAGTAAAAAAGGAGTCATGAGATGGCAATAAATTTAGTTATATCCAAATGATACTCTCTACCTTAATTAGCAGAAGCCATATTAACACTAGCACTAAGTGAACTAAAGGTTCTTATTTTTGTCCATTTAGTTTTAACATATGATATTTCACATATCATTAGGATGCATGTACGCTGGTTGTGTCATGGAGAGCCAATACAGGCATTAAGTATTGAAAAACTTAATAAAATATATAAAGGTATTTTTTTCTTACCTGATGTGTTGCTTGAGTTGTTCTTGTCTTAAATTAGCAATTTTAAGCCATTTGAGAAATTTCTCCATTCATAACTAGGAAAGATGATAAGCTTGTCATATCCCTTAATGGAGAAATTTCTCAAATAGCTTGAAATTGCTGACTAAGCATGAGAACAGCATAATCAACACTTCAAGCAAGTAAAAACACTTTAAATTATTTTTATGAAGTTTTTTATACTAAGTGCTTGTATGGGTTTCCAATGAGCATTTGAGGAATTATTGAACTCACTCGATAATAAACTCCAACATGACCTACAATAAGGTAAAAGCAAATAATTAGTGAGGTTTTACAGAATATCACTAGTCACAATGATGCCTGCCTTTAAAAATATCACCAAAACACAGTATTCTTTCAGAATTTTCCATGCTTATCAATATGGAATCATCTAATGAAGACATAAATGTTTTGGGAGGAAGGGGACACTGGGGGTTATCAATTAGGCACTGAGAAACACTCTTGGGAATTTCCATGTTTTTTCGCATCTCTGTATGATCCTTCAACCTCCTCTAAATATCAAAAGGCTCTAAAAACACAATGTATGGTACACACTATATTCTCTACCACCAATTTGCCAGATTTTATGCAGATTAAATGCATGAATATTAATTTTTTTTGTTGGCACATTTGATATTCATGAATTTACCTATATTGTTTATTACACTCTCATTACTGGTTAAAGCCCTTAGCTACCAGGTATTACATAGGGAAGTTCTTCTTACAATAACAATACAATGTCACGAAGAGAGATAATGAGATTAATGATAAAATATCTGCTGTGAAACATCAGCTGATTTCACACCAAACTCTCAGAGTTGAGATTATGAGGAATGTATGAAGGACAACACAGTAAACTGGTATGAAAATATAATAAAAGAGCAAGGGTTAACACCACCATTGTCTCATTCTTTAAAATTGCATGCTACGTGCTTAGCTCTGCTTTCTTTGTTTCATTTCTACTTATTAATTCATAGACGCTGGCAAACCACCTGCACTGTTAGCTTAAGCTTGTGAATAATAATTAATTTCCCTCTGGAATTACAGCAAATTTTAAAATTATACTCTGTTAGCTTATAGAATTCGCACTCAGTCAGCTAAGAGAAGACGGGAGGGTAAAGCTAATCTTCAATGCATTTTTCGTTAAGCATTAGAATAAAACTCTCAGCTGTAGAGGAAACGAGTCGGAATGATAAGATACTTTAGCGTCTCTCCTGCAGCTCTTACGATACGGTATCATTATTAGCTAAGAAAGTACATCATTGATATGCGCCACTTCAACCAAAAAAAAGGGGAAATTAATCTCTTAGAAGTACATAATTTCCTCACAATAGCAATTCTTTCGGGCCTTCAAAGAAAACGTGCTGATTTCAAATGAGGCTTCTTGAAAAAGCAAAACGAAACTGGACAAAATCATGTGAAATGCATTTTTCAATGCAACCAAAATCTCTGGTTTTCATGTTTCGAACTCTTCTCTCACCTTCATCTATTTTATGGACGGAGAAATTGAACAACATTGCAGCCAGTCCTATGATTATTCCAGTGACAACTGCGGCGGCCATTGTGGAAGAAGAAGGAAAAAATTCCCGTGATGCTATGCAGAGTGAAGGTGTCTAACGCGGTACTAGTCCTCTCGCGACATTTCAAGCCTCAGGCTGATTAGCCTGAAATTCAAATAATATTCATGCCTGCTTATTGTCTTTATCAATTTTCATAGTGTAAGCTCTGGAGGATATTTTTTATCGATTGAATAGGAAAAACCCGCAGGATTGTAGAAAAGCGAAGCGTCGAGGTCGAAGGGGTTGCGTGGTCACGTGATACTGGTTGGTACAATCGATCAATCATTGAAGAGAATAACAAAGTTGAGAGGTCTTCAAACATGGCGGGCAGTACATCTCCGGTTTCGAAGCAGGCATTTCACGAGACCTACGAGCTAAAGGAAGAACTGGGAAAGTAAGTAGCTCTGCAGATCAGCTTTCACTGGAAGTGGCTGTAGAATTTATTCTTATTTTACGGTTGTCCTTCGCAGAGGTGCATTCAGTATTGTTCGTCGATGTGTACATAAGGAGACGAGACTTGAGTATGCCGCCAAAATTATCAACACCAGAAAATTATCATCCAGAGGTAAGAAAACCGGATTTGGTTTTTTTTCACATTTACTTTAGAATTGAAGCTTTTATTATGAACTTGTTATCGAAAGGCGAGGTACTAAAGTTAAAAATTGTTTTTAATTATTTGAATGAACTTGCAGCAAATTTTATTTGGAATCTTTTCGGGATTCTCTACTTAGAAGAGCGAAGAAATAAATTTGTCAGGAAACGACTTATTTTCTATGGTTTTTTTTTGTATTGCTGTGGCAAGGTTACTCTTTCGCATCTACTGAATTCGTACGTGTCTCTTATTTTCAAGGATGTAAAGAATATTTCAAATGAGGAATGATTCAAAGGGAAATTGTTTATGTTATTTAGAGGTCGCCTACAAGGTGTATTTTTGGGAATATACTTTGTATTAGTTTTCGAAAAGCACGGACAAATGGCTACCATAAATGATACATCGAAATCTAAACCAGATGTTGCTGTCGATCGAAAGTTTGACCAGAGTGAATTAAATATTTTAATGCCAGAAAGAGCCAAACATCACTTCACAGTGGGAGAGTCCGCGTAGATTTCACCTGTGCGCGCTCTACACTCTGATATTTACTCAGATAACTTCTCTAATATATTTTACTCCTCATTCATTAGACCTTCAGAAGCTCGAACGAGAAGCCAGGATATGCCGCCTACTAAAGCATCCTAACATTGGTGGGTATGGAATAGGTTTAAATTACGGTAAATATCACGCGAAGGAAATTGGAAGGTTCACAAATTGAGATCCTTGTAACTTTGAAAATGTTCTTTGTAATGCATAATTTTCTTAATATATATGTTAGCCAGAGAGTTCTATTGTTTCTGGACGGGTGACTTTCTAGAAGTCTTCCGTAATTTTATTCGCGGGTCCATTTTACGCCTTTAGACGAACAGCGGCTTAAATGTCTTCAAACGGCGATCAGCTCAACAACTGTGTAAACACAGAAAATACATTTAATACATGTCATCAGCGGTGCGCACGGCAGCAAGTCACTCTATTTAAGAGGTAATATGTTGAAATTCCCTCGCTAAGAGACAGAAACAACTCATAATTGTCGACATGAAGTTTTTGCATGTGAAGATGCAAAGCCTCTCCCTTTATATAATGTCGGAGGCGTGTGAATTTGAATGTTATTGATTCGTTTGTGTTGTTCATGTCAAACTGTGATGACTTCCCACTCATCATCATCAAACCCCGCAGCCCTGCACGGTAGCGATCTGTCGTTGGTTTACGACTCCGTAGTTGTTAATTTGAGCTATGACACAAATTTACATCGGCAAGAACTGTCTGGATTTCTGCTTCAGATAAGATTCCTCTTTTCGGTTTGCGGAGGTGGTGGAGTTGATTGCTTTTTAATTTAGTGAGACAAAAACTTTTACCCAGCTGCAGGTTATCCGAATTTACGAGAAAAACTTCTTTCCTGTTTTTGAAGATAAAAAGAAGTATTTTTTCTGTAGCTAAGGTGGAACCTAATTGTTTCCTTTTGTCGTCTCGCAATTATAAATGTTCTAAATACTATGCTTCCATATTTTCCTAAGACAATTGACGCTCATGAATCGATTTCGCGGGAAGAGTAACTCGATATGTCATGTGAAACAAATTTCGAACATTACATCGTTTTGCACTCATTTTTTATGTTGCGTTTTGTGGGAGAGAATTCCGAAAACTTATGATGAGTAAAATTTCGAGAAAATACATGTTTTCTTTGAGCTGACTTTTGTCTCAGCAGCCAATAAATCAAAAGCGTCGTGCTGCGCATACATTTTATAGATTTATTTATTGAATTTACATAAATGAATGCTGTTCTCTGCGAATCCGATGCATTTTTAATTCCTTCTTTGCAAATAATTGATAGGTAGTACGTCGCATAGGAAGCATATTGAACAAGAGATGTGTGCATGTGAGTCACTGATAGAGAGAGAGCAAGACTGAATCTGTGAACCATTGAGAACCAAAATTAGGCGGGTAGAGGAAGGCGTCAAAACTTGAGACAAATTGAGTGTAATTAATGAAGTTGGATCAATCCATCAATTTCCTAATAATTTTTCATTTGCTTGGGACAATATGGCAAATGGAAGTTCTCTCTGATGTCTGTTTAGGATGAGTTTTAAGCTATCTTATTGCCATGTTGGCAGAATGTTTGGGCTGATCAGAAAGGTTTATAGGAAAACATATACTCATGTTAATCATCAAGAATTGTAGATTAAATAAAATGTTTCAAGATTAAAGGTAACACATGGGTATAGGATCAAAGTAATTAGCACTTATTATGCAATTTGCTCTATTTTCTTTTTCTCCTTTAGCAC